ATACTAATACTAATACTAATACTTATACTAATACTAATACTAATACTAACTCCTCTACTGACGCCAATATTAATTTTAATATCAACTCTAATACTAAAACTAACTCTAATACTTACACTCATCCTAATTGTAATCCTAATATTAATACTAAGTTACTAACTATATTACGTACTAATACTAATACTAACTATAATACTAACACTAACACTAACTTATAGTAAAGGTCTAGGGTTCGAGTCCCCCTCCCCTATTTTGCCTTGTAATGGACTTAAATTTACTAAAAAAAAAAAAAAAAACACTTACACTAATACTTATGTTGATGCTAGTACTAAGGAGACATTTAAGTAAACTAAGGTGACATTTTTATTTATTTTTGTCATTTTCAATCGATATTAGGTTGATGGTTACAATTAGACTCATAAGGGTATTTTGGTAATTACAAAATGAGTATTCCATGGAATCTATTTGTTTCAGTTATTGTTAACTCTGTGCTGGTAAATTTGTTAGACATAGAATACCTTAGGGTGGTGCACGTAATTATGAAAAATAATTAGGGTTTTTTTGTAATTAGATATTATCTCAGGGGTGGATATAATAAAACAATATTTTTACTTTAGTATATTGCACCATGAAAAAACTTCACTAAAAACATGAAAATTCCATCATAAACTTTTAAAAAATAATTACAGAGTATATTGTGAATAATTTATTTTGTTTGATGGTGAAAATGCTATTAATGTTGTTTTGGTGTGCAAAGTGCCAAAATTTTATATTTGAACGGGGCAAAATAGAATTAAATCCATAAGTATATTGTACTTAATATTCTATGAATTTATATCCATACTTCTATGAATCCTTAACTATATTTATTATATTTTACACCTAATGTATGTAGATTGTGTCAATTCCAGTTTCGTAATATAGTATCATATAAAATTATATATTTATGAAAAAATATAATTTGCACCGTAATCTATTGGGTTTGTTGCAAACACTCTCTGAAGTACTGTATTAAAAAATAAATTATTTGACACGTAGGGGATGAACATGATTTGACAAATCTTGTTACAAATTTGAAAAATAGGGGATGAACATGATTTGACACGTGCGAGGCATGGTTCGTTCATATATCTAACAAATCAAGCAAATAGTAAAATTTTATATACATAAATTTAAAAACACTAATTTTAAAAAATATAAATAATTATGAAATTTTAGTTCAGATATAATTCTATATCTATATCTATATCTATATATATATATATATATATATATATATATATATATATATATATATATATATTTATCATACCTAAGATACAAAATATTTATGTAAATAACATAATAATTGTGAGATTCAAAATAAATTTATGTGTGTAGACCCAATATGAATAGCAACTCTAAAAATTGTGTGTCTATGATATTACTTAATTATACATAAAACTGAAACTGCATTATATTCATTATGTCATATATCTACAGAATAAATATTTGCGAATTTTGTAAATAAGTACTTTTAAGTTAATGTCTAAAACGGTATATAAGATTTTTGATGATTTTGATGCTAATTTTCAAAATGGGGGCCTGATTAACTCATTTTAAATTTATATACAACTAATTCAATTATATGATGATTTAGATGGTCCAAATAATGGTTTGCTATACATTTTGAAGTCAATGGAGTTTTATTTAAATACTCGTGGTTCTGAAGATAGTGTATTGGAAGATTAGGCAAATCCAATTGATTTCGTTAATGTACGAAGGAACCTTGTTGAAATATTACTAATTAAAATAATATCTTTCCTAAAAAAAGTATTGAAAATAAACTTAAAAAAAAGTGAAGAAGTACTAATTAACATATGAAAATTTAAGAAATTTTATTGGAAAATAAAACTAATTACAATTATTATACATCATCATTGGGTTCACCATCAACATCATTTTCACCTTCACTACAATTCCAATTGTATAGCAAATCCCCATCAATTTATGTGACGACAGATGGGTAAGGTATCCACATTGTTTGCAACATATCAATAAATCTTCGATTGCAATATCACCACATATCACATGGAAAATTAATACTATATCTGAAAACAAAAAAAAATTAGATAAAAGTTTCGTGAGTATGTTAATTCAACAGAAATCAACAATTAAATACATATACATGCAAATAAAAATTCATAAAAACAATCTTCCATAGAAAAAAAAAAACTTCAATGGAAGAACGTATAGTAAATTATTGGAACGAAGAAGGATGAATGGTAGGAAGGTGGTGCATGGAAGAATTTATAGGTGGATATATTATGACGAACATGGAAATATAATATAAGTTAGGAAAAAATATTAATGTTATTAAATACATGATTTACATAATTGAAGAAGTCAATATTTACCTATAATAAACATATTGTTGACGTGTCCATTAAAGTGGGGAATGAAATATATTGGTAATGATTTACAAAATCTTCTAAAAATGATTGTAAAAATTAGTAAAAACGTATTAAGAACATTGCTAAATATATATATATATATATATATATATATATATATAGTTGATTATTATATACATAATTTATAAGTCAAACTTACACAAAAAAATATAGATATTTAAAGCATCCTTATATAATTCATATATTTAAAATATAAATGAATTCTAAACGTACATATAGAAGCGTAGTGATTATTGATTGGTTACTATCACCAATGATTTGATTCCCGTTAGATAAAATTTCCAAAAAGTCGATATATATCTTTACTAAAATTGAAGGCAATTGAAATAAATAAATGATTGACACTTTATTGCACCAAATAAGTTCATTAATTTTATACGGGATATAATATTTCAAATTCCATTCGATTTATGAATTTCATATTATTATACAAAACAATATATGATTATAATATGAAATGAATAATACATTCAAATTAATCAAATGACTATTTAAATGATTATTACATTACAATTTCAATCACAGTATTATCGAGTAATACATTTATAATATGTTGCTATTATTTTTCCCCGAATGTTTAAAAGAAGAAAATTAATAATAGACATCATAATCTATTGTAAACTTAAATGAATTCTAAAAAGAAATAGAATAACAAATGGCTTTAGTAATTAAATAGTTCATAGAACATTAAACAAACAAATAATAATTAAAATAAGTAATTCATTGATGCATGGAATCCTTTTTTTTTTTTATTTTTTTTATTTTTTTTTATTATCTATAGATTGTTCAAATTACATGTGGTTATAAAATTTCAAATTAATATAAAAAAGGTGTATATTTATAAAACAAAATAATGTAATAATTATATTTTTTATAAAATTATGAACTATTCAAATATAATTTATTCAAATTTTATTTGAATATTCGAAAATAATTCAGAATAATTGCCATGTTACTTTTAGATGATCCCGTATTTATATATACTATCTTTGACATTTACTTTATGTATACCTTATTTATAATTTGAAATATAATGTATATACAATTCGAAATATGGTATATTAGAAACTGTTAAAATTTAAAATTTCAAAATATTGCATATTTATTAAATAGTATAATTATTTTTAATTGAAATACGGTATAATAGAATAATTTGAAATACGGTATAATAGAAATTATATACAAAAAATATTGTATATTTATTAAATAGTACAATTAAAAAATGAAACAAAATTTTATAAGTATTTTTAATGGAATGGATATTCGAATATTCCAAAATATTGAAAATTCAAAAAAAAAAAAAACAACAACTGTATTCCTTTATTTTAATATTTGAATAATAAAAAAAATCTGAAAATTATTTGAATATTTGTAAAAAAATTGAGTATCATGAATTTTTTCAATAAATATATTTTGAAATACTGGAAATGTAAATAATATTTTTGTATTTCAAATTTATAAGATATTAACTTTGGAAATAATATATATACACTTGGAAATAATATATATACATGTGGTAATTGTTTAAATGAGTGTATAAATGTTAAATAGGAAATAACTTAAATACATACCAAAATAAAATTGACAACTCACCAATTGAAGAATCCACCTCATCAATTGAACTCCAACTAAGCAATTTTGATAAATGACATCATCATTTGCCACATGTCAATCATTGAGAGCATAGATCCTCTTTTTATATTATATATAGATAAACACATATATTCACTACAATAATTCATCTATATGATTCGATTCTGCAGTTATCCAGTGTGTTGTAGTCATCTAAATTCTATAATTAATTAATATATATCGATTATTTAATTAATTCCCCTATATAGAATTAATATATATATATATATAAAAAGAAAAAAGGTGATCTTGAATTAGATTTGAGCAAGTGGAAAAATAGTATGAGAAGGAAAGTCATTCATCCAAAAATGCTAACTGATCTTTGTAACCTTTGTTCTGTATTCAGCCAAAAGGTTCTGTCTGATTGGTCCCAATCACTTCATAATTTTTTGGCATTTTATCTTTACCATTATACATTATACTAAAAAATATAGCTTAAATTACGGTCACCCCGATGTAAGGTTAAATTACGAATAAACACCTCTTGTTTGGGTAATTTTACAACCACCTCCTCAACTATGAAACTTCTTACACGTCCACCCTTATGGTGTCAAATTCAACATAATCTTTTAGATTCCGTGGAATGTTCTCTAGTTTGTACTCGTTTTGTGTAAAAGTGCAGTTTCTGATATTTACAAGCCAAGAAACACATCTTATGATCATCTTGTTTCAAAATATGGAGCTCGAATGGGCTAAAACAGGTACAAACTGGAGAATTTTCCACATAATCCAGAAGATTCCACTAAACTTAGACACCACAAGGGGAATATTCATGGTTGAAAGCGGTGATTGTAATTACCCAAACATGAGGGGTATTTTCATAATTTGACCTTACCTCAGGAGTGACCGTGATCTACCCAAAAAAATATATAAAGTGAAACCAGTATTAAAATAGTCTAACACATTGTTCCTACAATTCCATCCTATTTAGATTCAAATATTCAAACTTTTGGTTCAGAACATAAATTGCATTACCATTTGCAATCAATTTTCAATAAGTCAATCTTTTTACATAATAAGTGAATTTATCTATTTTTACATAAAATTCGAAAGATATTAATCCTCACCCGCAAGATCTCCCCACCGAACGTTATGTTTAGCGGCAAGATAGTGGGCCCCAACGGGCCCCCTACTACCGTAAGGGTACAACTCGGGGGCAATTTTCCTATCTTCGAGTTCTTTGAGCAATGGTGTGAAAAGAGACCATGCTGCATCAAGTTCGTCACTTCGAATGAAAAGTCTTCTTTCTCCTTCGATGGCATCTAATAGTAATCTCTCGTAAGCATCCGGAATTTCCCTCGTGTACCTATTATTATTTATTTATTATATTCATCCAAAAATGGTAAAATAATCACATAGTAGAAGCATTTTAGTGTGACAAATCGACCCCTTTTATTTTCTTTAAAGTTAAGGCCTCGTTTGGCTAGTAAGATTAGTCATGATTAATTAATTTCTCCAATAAACCAAGTTAAGAGCTCGTTGTTTACCGAATACCAAGCCCACCCGAAAAAGTTAGTTATTGGACAAACCAACGATCTCGTAAGGTCCAATTATTTATTTAATTAATTAATTATGACTAATCTTACCAACCAACCAAACAAGGCCGACGAACAACAATTAAATCTCGAATTTTTTTACCTTGTTTTGTAAAGCAGATTAAGATCACTGCGGTCAAGTCTCATTCCAAGCCCCGGAACCTTGTTATTAATTTTCAAATAAACGGCTTCATCGGGCTGTACACGAAGCACTAGCTCGTTCGTAGCCTTATCTAAATCCGTCCCAAAATTCCTCTTGTACAAATTACCTGGTACATGTCTGAACTGTACTCTAATCTCTGCCCTGATTTTTCCGTAAGAAAAAAAAAACATCGTTGTCACAAAAAAAAATAAAAAATCATAACTATAAAAAAAAATAATAATAAAAAATTAATGATACCGTTTAGTGTGGAGAGCTTTGCCAGCTTTCATGAGAAACGGGACTCCATCCCAACGGGCATTGTTAATAAAGAGAGCTGCTGCAGCAAATGTGGGAGTAACGCTGTTTTTCGGAACCGTTGGATCGTCTGTATATCCTTGATATGATTTACCACCTTTATTGTGTCCTTTATATTGTCCCACTATTACATCTTCCAGCTGCAATGGCTTCATCGACCTCAATACTTTGACCTTTTTCAAATTTTATAAATTAAAAAACAATACTATTATACGACGAATAATACTTTCTTGAAATAATAATAATTCAAACGAGTTTTTAGTAGTACCTTCTCGTTCCTGATATCTTCAGCATCCAAGCTGACAGGTGTCTCCATTGCAAATAGTGTTAATATTTGTAGGAGATGGTTTTGCATTATGTCTCGTATGATTCCGTAATTATCAAAGTATCTGCCAATCAAATGCATGGATCATTTAATTTGGGTTTATTGCATTCGACTTGTTACGAAACTCCCCATGTTATTTTATTAGCAAACTCACTTATCAGGGGTTGTGTGGTAAAAGAATGCATTATAAGGGGGGGTTTTGCAAATATTTTAAAACACGGGGAGTTTTCTACCAATTCGATATAACATAGGGGTACTAAATGCAATAAACTCGAATTTTAATCTCAAGAACTTGGATTAGAGAATTATTATAGTAAAAAAAAACCGGATGTGAATTGACGAGACTAACCCTCCTCTTCCCTCGGTGCCGAAATCTTCGGAAAATATAAACTGCACATTACGTATGTAATTTCTCGACCAAAGAGGCTCGAAAACGAGGTTCGAAAAACGAAGCACCGAAAGATTTTCGACCAACTCCTTGCCCAAATAATGATCAATTCTGTGCCAAAAGTTAACGTCTTTATTATCAAAATAAATTTCTCATTTTTGCTAAAATAAAGAAACTTCGGGGGGGCAGGGCAGGGGCATTACCGGAATATTTGGTCCTCGGTGAGATACTTCTTCAGACATCTTGTAAGCTCGTTAGATGACTTGGAGTCACGACCAAATGGTTTTTCCACAATAACCCTTGTCCATCCACTAGTGGAAGAAGCTTGGGTGCTAGCACATCGAACAACGTCCACGAATATATTCGGCGGTATAGATAAATAGAACAACCTATTTGATGGTCTACCACCCTGAAAAACATTACCTTAACATCATCAAAAATCGAACTTTCAGACCAGAGCAAAAAGGAAACTCTCCATGGTTGTATCGTATTTCAAGAATTATAATTTTTATTGCAAGAATTAAATTAACAAAAGCAATTTAGCACCTCTTTTTCTTTGATTTTGCAATCCAATTCCGAAAAGTGTTCCTCCGAGTTATATTGACCCGACTGGTAAAAACATCTCTTTAGAAACTCCGACATTTTCTCGTCGCAGTTTGCTCTGAAAAATCAGAACACGAAAAAAGTAAAAAAAAATATTAAACAAAGAAACAAATTCCATTACATCAGGCTTTAAGTATCGTAAACGAGTACCTCCGATCAATTCTGCAAGTTAAGGTTCCACTAATCATATTTCTCAACTCTTCGTCATTCATCTTCGTCCGAGAATAACCAAACACAACAAAGTTCTGCAAAATTAAAGTTTTAACGAGAATTCATCATCAATCAAAATCGTTATTCAATTTCGTAAAAAAATATAATTAATGAACTTAATATTGATAAATCAATAACAAAGTATAAAATGGAAAACCTCGGGTAGCCAATCCTCGTAGTAAAGAGCGAAAAGAGCTGGAAAAATCTTCTTCTTCGCAAGATCCCCCGATGCACCGACAACAGTTATGCTAAGTGTAGAATCTCCTTTTCCGGAATCGGATAATTGAGTTTCTTCTGTCTGAGAATTTGCAGCCGAACCTTCTGCATATGTGGCACATGGGAATTACAATATCGAAACTAAAAACAATACAACAATGAGCAAAAGCCAGATACAAAATTCAATTCTTTTTTACAAAAAATAAATTCAAAATCACATATTAATTGAAATTCAATTATGATCATCTCTCGGTTTAGCTGCTTAAGATTCAATTGATTCATGAAAATTAAATTATTAATTACCCAACCATTCAAAATCAACTTACCCAACCATTCAAAATTGAAATCAATGATCCACATTAACATCACTACATATAACAAACCCTAATTAAAATTTGCCCCAAATACTCATTAAACAACAGAAAAATACAAAATTCATCTATACTTAACCAAAAATAAAAAAATAAAAATAAAAATTATATATTACAGCTTAATTAAAAGCATACCATCTTGTAAAGAAACAGCATTAAGAGGGTAACCATTTGAGGATCTCAGCTCAAAACGACGTCGTGTCTGAATTCTTGCTAGAATTCTCGGAGCCCACTTGGAGAAATGAGTTATACTAGGTAAAGCATTGATCTTTCTCGAACAACACAGATTTTTATAATTATTATCGTTATGGTAAGAAGAAAATGTAGCCGGAGAAGAATTGCGACAAGGATTACTCAGCAATTTCGCCATGCAATTTTTCTTTTTAGATACTTGACGTGAATTAGTGTGTGTTTTTTTCTTTTCTATGTGATGTGGCTTTTTCATATGCCTAATCCTTTATATGTGGTCTAGATTTAATGATCCAAATATTTGAATTGAAAATTGTTTAATTCTATTTTCCACCCCTTGAAATGTAGTATTTCGACGTTTTGCACCCTCAGATATTTTTTTTAATGGGATTTCGAACTTTCGAAGCGCAATAAATCACTCATCTTGCACCTTCAACTGGTTTTCGGCGTGCAAGTTGTCGAAACAAAAATAATGTACAAGTGATATTATACACCTTGAAGAAAGTTTATTACTAGAAAAAGAAATTACCCTTGTTAGTTATTAACGTCTAAAAACTCAAATTTGTGTGCTATAAATGATTTAGAGAATGTTTGGCTAAACTTATTTTAAACATCTGATAAGTTTGTTTTAATAGCTGATGATCTCTTACGTTTTATTTTTTAAATTAATTTGTAAAATGTTTGGATAATGAACAATTACAAGTTATTTTCATTCATGATCAGATCTTAAATAAAAAGTAGGTTACATGTAAAAAAAATTAAAATCTTATGTACTTTCCAGAAACTTACTTTTTTAAATTTTCAAACATTTTAGAGAAAAATTATCGAACATTTTAAAAAGATTATAAGCTATTAAACATTTTATAAATGTTAACACCTTATAAATTTAGACAAACAATCTCTTAATTGAAACAATTGAAATAGACAAGAACATTGGGACCTCATGTCATGCTATATATCAGATTTGGGCTAAGTTGTGAATACAAGTGTTTGGGCTTTAACAAAATGCTGGATTGGCAAACAACATTTTGGTTCGTTTTGAATTAAATCGGACCGAAAATTGAAATTTTCAAATATTTTTTTAGACAATTCCAATTCTAATTCATAATAAATTGATTTTTTTTTTTTTGGAAATTTGATTTACAAAAAAAATTATTCCAAAATTGGAATTTTTCTAACTTGAGAAACTGAAAATTTCATTCCAACTTTCAACCCTAATTATTTTGAACGAAACGAATTGAAGTGAGAGATTTTCATACGAACAAATTCATTGGCTTATTTGAATTTAAGTACACGACTCTCATTTTTTTTAATCGGAGTTCGAACTTTTGAAGCGCAATAAATCACTCACCGTGCACCTTCAACTGGTTTTCGGCGTGCAAGTTGTCGAAACAAAAATAATGGATAAGTGATATTATACATCTTGAAAAAAGTTCTTACTAGAAAAAGAACTAAAAGGATGTTTGGTTAAACTTATTTTAAACACTTACGTTTTATTTAATAGATGATAATCTCTTACGTCTTATTTTTAAAATTAATTTGTAAAGTGTTTGGATGATAAACTTACAGGTTATTTTCATTCATAATTAGATCTTAAATAAAATGTGGAGTATAGGTAAAAAAAAATTAAAATATTATGTTCTTTCCAACAACTTATTTTTTTAAATTTTCAAACATTTTGAGAAAAAATTACCAAATATTTTAAAAAGATTATAAGCTATTAAGCATTCTATAAATTAAATTATGTTTAACAGCTTATAAATCTAGCCAAACAACTTCTTAATTGAAACCATTGAAATAGATAAGAACATTGGGACCTCATGTCATGCTATTATCAGATTTGGGCTGAGTTGTGAATACAAGTGTTTGGGCCTTAACAAAATGCTGGATTGGCAAACGACATTTTGGTTCGTTTTGAATTAAATAGGATCGGAAATTGGTTCAACTTTTTTTATACAAAAAAATAAAAAAAAAAATAAAAAAATTGGAAATTATAATTAAAAAAATGCAAAATTATAATTTTTCGAGCTGGAACCGGTAGAAATTGAGAATTCCGTTCCAACTTGCACCCCTAATTATTTCGAACGAAACAAATTGAAGTTAGAGATTTTCATACGAACAAATTCATCGGCTTATTTGAATTCAAGTGCACGACTCTCATTTTTTTTTAAATTGATCCAAGGCAATCGATTTGTCATTTTGATGTAACTTGTAACGTTTTGGGAAACAATTTTAAACTACACTAAAAAAAAACTTTGATGTCAGAAAAGGCGTAAACCTAGGCTCATAGTGCATTCAGCACATACAAACATCCACAATATTCGATTATGAGCCGCCCAACCCCAACCTCCACGCGTGGATAATTGTTGTCAAACTCAGACTAACGAACACATATTATTTTCCGGTAGTAATTTATAATGTAGTGGCATTATGGACCAGGCTAGAACAAGTTTAGAATCTGGCCCAAATTTGAACTCAATATTTTATATGTAGTGTTTCTCATAATTAAATACTTCCACTACAACATTGATGTATACGGCCATTCCAATATGAATTATATGATAATATGTCTTTTATTACAACTTTTTTTTTTCCCTTTTTTCTTTTAATCTCCATTGCACCTAAGTTAGCAAATTGCATCCACTCATGTGGTAATTCAAATTACGAAAAAATCATTTTGTTTGGATAAATTTACAACCACCAATTTCAACTATGTATTGTTTTATAAAAAAAAAAACTCCCTTTCAATTAGTAAATTTCACACTGCAATGATGGACGTGTAAAAAAATGCATAATTAAGGACGTGATTGTAATTATTCAAATATGAAGATTTTTTTGTACTTTGACTTTATCTCTCAGGTTCGGGCGTAATCTGCCTAAGTTTTATGATCCAAACATAGCCTAGAGTTTGGTTTGTAAACATCTAAAAAGTTTGCACAAATTTGGCTATGACCATTTGATACTTTAGCTTAGACACTCTTAGTAATCTTCATTTTATCCTAAATTAAGTAATTAACACTTATAATTTATTAATGTACAACACTTTCTTAGTCAAATATTAGATTATAGCATAGCCATACTTATCTTTCTTGAGGTTAGGTGTAAATTTACTTTTGACTGGTTTTTAAAGACTATACTTACAATTTATTACACTTTCTTAGTCAAATATTAAATTAAACCATAAATTAAACGTATCTTCCATGAGGTTAGATTAGACCTTAGATATAACTAAAAGGTCCCTTCAAATTTGAAAATTTACATAAATCTCCCTAAACTTTCATATTGGTTAAAAAAAATCCTTCTCAAACTCGATTTATATTTTATGTATCCTCTCTCTAAGTATTTATTTTTTAAAATTAATCATATCACCTCTTTAAGTGAGGTCTAATTATATCTGAACTCCTCGTAAGGGATGACCTAGCGGTTGGAGAATTAAGCGAACTTGTGTCAGTTGACCCAAATTTGAATTCTCTAACGGCTGTTACATAAAACTTGTCACACATTGTTATTATACTGTGATTTACGTCTCTCGTATAAGTTGCAAGCTATCATACGAGAGTGTACGTTCGATCACCCAGTGCACCTATATCGACAAGTCTTCGTCTTCTAATTTCAATATGTCTTCATTTCCTCAAAGCTTTGTCAAAGTCTTCCTCATTTGTCCAAACTCATTTACCTTAATATTCCCAGAAATTTCACAAGAAACTCTCATTGTAGACTTTTCTAAGTAAACTATTCAT